CATGTGGTTCTCCCCAAAATGGCCACCATCATGAGGTTTCCCCCCCCAAAATGGGCACCACCATGAGGTTCTATACTCATGTGGAAAGCCATGAAACCAAGTCTGGTGTTCCCGGTGAGGAGAAAACAACCCCGAGAGCTCCGGATCGGCCGTGCAGCTCCGCCACAAGATCTGCAGAAGTACCAGGGCTCTGACCGCACTCCCCCTTGCCTGTCGCATCTCTGGCAGCCTGCTATTGTCTCTGAGAGTCAGAGGAAAGTCAGAGCCTCTGAGGGAGCTCACAAATAGGTGACCACAATGGGAAAATGTAAAAGGACATCACAGTAAAGTCCCGATAGCCGGCACAGCCAGCAGCACCTTAGTAAGAAACCTCCGGTAAAAGGCTCCAACAGGCCCCGTGTTCTAATTGTCTCAGACACAAACTGAATATGGTGAAAAAGAACTTATGAGCCAAGTCCCCCACCATCCATCAGTCAAAGCAACAGAGAAAAACGTAATTTAAAGGAAAATAACACTAAAACTAAAATACTAACTCTTGGGCAAGACTGAGTCAGAATTGGAAGTCAGCAGGGGAAGCTGGAGGCATGGCTTCAATTCTGACTAGTCTCTTGGGCAAAAAAGGATTGAACTCCCACTTCTGGACCCCCCTGCGCCATCAGCTGGACAATAATCAAGCAGTGATTTGCAAGCACTTAGAAACCGTGTGATTTTGATTGGCGGAAGCAGCATGGATTCGTTAAAAACAAATTATGGCACAAAATCTTAGTATTTTCTTTAACAATGTGACTAGGTCAAGAGAATATTTTGGATGTATTGTACTTTCTTCAATAAGGTATTTAATAACCTTCTTGATAAGCCATAACAATGTGGATAGATGATCTGACTTAACACATAGATTTACAATTAGCTGAGTAACCATAACCAACACATGTCCTTACTGGGTCCATATCCACACAGAATGTGATGTTCAGTGGGATAACTTGTGGTTTTGTCCAGGCACAATACTCTTCAACTTATTTATAAATCACTTGCATAAGAGAACAGAAGACACACTCATAAAATATGCAGATGATACAACTTAAAGGGGACTGTTAACACTCCAGAAGACAGGCTCAAAATTCAAAAGAATCTGATATACTTGAAGATTAAACAACAAATGTCCAACAAAATGTTCAGAGGTGAAAAATGAGAGATTTTGGACTTAGATAGGAGAAAACAGACACACGGTTTACAAGATAAGCAGTAACTAGTTTAGCAGTATTACTTGTGAAACAATATGGATATCTTAGTACACCACAGATTTGAAAATGAGCCAGCAATGTGCTGCAGCTACCAAAAGAGCCAATGCATTTTTTGGCTGCATCAATAGAGCGGAGTATCAAAATCACAGAAAGTGACACTACCAGTCTGTGCTGCATTGGTCAGATTACATCTGGAATACTGTGGTGAGCTCTGGACACAATTCAGAAAGGTCACTGAGGAACTGGAAAGAATACAGATAAGAGAGACAAAGATGGGAAGGGCCTTGGAGGCTAAATCCTCCGAAGAGCAATGGAAGGAAATTGGCATATTAAGTCTAAAGAAAAGGCTAAGAGGAAACTTAACAGCAGCCCTCCAATACATGAATGGATATCTCAGGGGTGAGATTGTGGATTTATACTCCACAGCACTTGAATATAATACAAGATCATTTGGGTGAAAATTTTATAGTGAAAAATCCAAATCTGAAACAAGAATGAATACCCTGTGAGAGCTATTAAGCAGTGGAACATCCTACTCCTCAGATTGTACAACCATTTCTTTTGGGTAAATGAGGTGTCCTGCACCATGCAGAGGATTGACATAAAAGAGCCCTCAAGTCCCTCTCAACCCTATGATTTTATGATTTTGTTACAACAGAACTGATGTAAAATAGTGCTTCCAATTTCCATCTCAGACATTCAGAAGAGCATTGTGATCAGCACGTACTGAAAAATGTAAGAAAATAAAGAGTTATATTCCCCCTTTCTCTTTTGCTAAAAGTTATTCCCCAGTGAAATTTATGTCTCAAAAAAAGGTAAAGGTTTTTCCCTATTCATAGCTGACTCTAGGGGGCAATGCTTATTTCTGTTTCTTAACTGAGGGAGCTAGCATTGTCCGAAGATGCTTCTGCAGTCATGTGGCCAGCATGACATCACATCGCAGAACAGAGCTTGAGGTGAAACACAGGACACTGTTACCTTCCCACTGAAGTGGTTATTTATTTATCTACTTGCATTTGCATGCTTTAGAATTGCTAGATGGGCATGAGCTGGGACAAGGATAGTTCGAACCTAGGCTGTCAGCTTTCCAACGGACAACCTCAGCTTAACAGCTTAGCCATCATGACCCCTTATGTCTCAAAACAATGTCTAAAATTACAGTAGAATTGATTCAGAAAATAAATACCATTTACAAATTTCTGTCCCTATCAACATTGATTAGGATCAGCCTTGGAGGAAGGAAGTGAACCAGCATAAAATTATGCCACTCACCCCCAACTCCTTAAATTGGCCCCAAAGGATACTATGGTTGAGGGTACTGAAAGCCACTAAAAGATCAAGAAGAACAAGAATGGATGCACCATCTTTATCCTCCTGTCAAAGATCATCCATAAATTGTGACCAATGCTATTTTTGTCCCATATCTAGGCCTACTGAAAAGGGCATAGATAATCCATTCCATCCAGGATCCTCTGAAATTGCAACACCACCTTCTCAACCACCTTCCCTAAAAAGGGAAAACAAGAGACGAGACAAAAATTCCCCAAACAGTGGATCCAACTATTGTTTCTTGAGGAGGGCGGATACCAGCGTCTCTTTAAAATGTGCCAAAATAACCCTATTGTAGCCAGAATATATTGTCCTTCAATCTGTATTCTTGATAGATTATCAGCAGGCTCTGAATGACAGGGTTAAAAATTGTTCTCTGTAAGTGCACCTTCTCTGACCAAAGTAAATGCTGTAAATACAGTAATCTGCCTCTTTTCTAGGAAGTTTGGCCTAGGAAGCAAAGGGAGCAGTATCCTAATGGCCTTTTCCATGTAACTCCGGTTGACAGAAACTGCACTTCTATTTTAGGAGGCTATTTTCTAAAGATAAAGATCTTTTTCTAGCTTTTCAACTTAAAAACCAAACACCCTAATTTGTGATTAGAACAAGTGATTAGAAATTAGACATGAATTGACCAATGCCCTCTTCTGTTCCCCTAATGCAGCTTTGTGCCCGCTTAGTTCTAAAGAAGATTCTGAGCCTTCCTTATGGTACTCCTGCTACCTATCTTAGAATGAAAGTAGGCCTATCCTCAATCTCTGTTAGAATTCACCTTGCACTGTTGAGGAACAAAAAATTAGGCTTCCAAAAATCTAATTAAACTGTTAATTGTATAGAAAGTCTTTGAGTTACAATTGTGATGGAGCCTGCCCATCAGAGCCATAACTCAGGAAACTGTAAATTGAGTCACTCATATGACTGATTTTACAATTTTTTTGCAGCAGTCATTAAGTGAATCACCATGTTCATTAAGCTAACACGATGGTAGTTAAGCAAACCAATGGTTCACTATGAATGAGATAGCTGTTGTAATTCCAAGATCATTGTGGGGAAAGGCAGAAATCCCAGGGAAAGTGCATGCAGATGCCATGACCTGAAGGCAGGGAAGGCCTAAGAGTTCAGGTCACATGCAGCCAAGGGAGGCTGGGGGAGAAACTGACCGGGGTTTGCCCATGCCACACTTGAGCTACAGGTGGCTAGGGAAAGTCTGGGAGGGTCAGTGACAACTGTGCATGGGGTGGAGGTGGGGGGAAGAAGAGCAACTTGCAGCCTTCCCTACTAGCTTCTTCATTGAGTTTTCTTGTGGAAAGCCAACAGAAAAGGTGACAAATGAACATCATCACATCTCAATCATGGCAATGAGGTGGACACCCTGATAGTGTTCGTGTGATCACATGGGGCCAGAATTTCACAGACCAATCATATATCCATTTTTTCAGTAATTTGAACAATTACCGGACAAATGGACATAAGCCAAGGATTCCCTTTACATCTGTTTACTTTATACCATAGCTTCCACTTATCTTTAAGGAAAGTTTTTTACATGTCCAATGGGGAGAACCTGTGCCCCTGTTATGCTGACCAAGTAGATGAGATTAATAATTATGTCCTCTACTGACCTATCTAACATAAAATCAAAAATAAAATGCTGATGACAAAAAAATTTATGGTGCAGGATACTAAACAACCAAATTACCTTCTCACAGGCACAATTCCAATTATTAACAATAAGATCAACTACCTTGGCCATGCCTTCTTTTCAATTTAGAAATGAAACTTTAAGCCCCCAATTGTAGTATTAGTTGATTCCTAATTCTTTTGTATGCTTTCTTTACTGTTGTTTACAATTTTATTGTTAACCAATTTTATTTTTCTTTTCTGATATGTCATGTTGTTATGGCCTGTGGTCAACATAATAAATTATTGAACTATGGACTAGCAACATGTGAACCTCAAGCCATAAAATAGATTATATTATTATATATCTCAATAAAAATAGTTTAGCTTTCCATTGTAGCTGATTTCCTGATCTCTCTTGGCTGGTTAATGGTTCTTTCATATTTCCAGCTTACTCTCTTTTTTTCCCCTTGTTCTTGAAACATATAGAAAACATATTGTAATATATGCGTATATTATCACCTTGATAAGATCACACGATGCTTGAATTAAAGTTCAGCAAAAGGCAAAATATTAAGTTTAGAAAAGCAATTACTGCAAAACACTGAAGAAATGATAGCACTATATTTTATATTTATAAAAAACACTTAGGCTTCAATACATACTTTTGAATAACATATATTTACAACATTTCTAACCTGCTTTTCTATTGCAAATAAACCAAAAATGCATATTCTGGCTATTGAGTATATAGTAGGCATGTTTATTTACATTATTAATAAGAAATATATAATTACTTTATGTAGTTTGTACCTTCAATAAAGCTTCCAGTATGTACAAAGCCAGAAAATAATAGTTGCACATTTTTAGCTGTGGAAAAAATGGTGTATCGGTAGAAAGTATGAAGTAAAGAGCAATTGGAAAACAGTTCAAAAGGGTTACCATGAAACATATATATTCAAATTCCTCCATTGTCGCTAATTGGTAACATGTTCTCAAAAACCTGTTTCTGTGCAAGAAAAAAAGGTCAACATGCAATTAATAACAGTCTTTTAAGCATCTATTACTTTTCATTTCTTAATTCTATTTATGGACAGTGATCAACACTGTCCAAAAATCTTGCTCTCAAAGAATAATTCAATAAGAATCCAACTCTGTGATTTTATGGACAGTTAAAGATGCTAAATAGATAAGTGAACTCAAATTACCACAATAAAAAAGAATGGAATGGAGTGCTTTGCCCACAAAAAGATACAACTTCTGTCAAAGGAATTACATCAACATGAGGTAAATTGCCCAAAATATTTTTTAAGGATGTTGAGGGATTATAAATATATGGAGGTATAAAATTGTGATTCCAAGGAATATATGTTCTTTTCAGAAAGACACAGATCTTTCTTAGAAATAGATGTTTCTAAGTATTTCCAAGATGATTTATATGATCTGAAGAGAAATCAAATATAATATTTCTACAAAATAGTTATTTTGATAACCATTTTCAGATTATAGATAGTCCTCGATTTATGATGTATTTTTGATAAAAGACTGGAAAACTTTTATGAAAACTTTTTGCTGATAACAAGAAAAAAAGTAAAAATTGTGATTTCTGAATTTGATTGTTGCAAAAGCATTGAATAACAGGTTGAAGGGATTTTTGTAATATTAAAGAGGAAGGATAATGACTTCATAACTGCTGTAAAGGTCTGCAAAAAAATTTTTTCCGAGAGCTATTTTGGTTATTCAATGTAATCTTTATGTTTTTTGGTGCGCTGAATCCGAAAATAACCTCCAT